CCCCAAAACCCCAAAACCCCAAAACCCCATAAAATGTAATCAAGTAAATTAGGAGATTGTAAAAAATAATAATCAAACCTTATTACATTAATCAGTATTAAATATTACTTGTAATATATAAGGGACTAGATATTTTATTTCTGTCAATCTGCTGTTCAATTTGACAATTCTTCCAGTCATATTTCTTTAGTTTTAGAACAGTCGTCTTCAAAGTTTTATGCGGGGTATTCCTTTATTATAATACTAATTTCCATCTTTTTGCTATCAAGCTATAGGTGAGAGTACATTTTCAATAATAAATTCTAATTAATTTTGAAAACCTTCACTGTTACTATTGAATTTGTTGAGATACTACTAAAACTCCATAATCAATGGTATATCAAGATGATTTATGCTTTTATTATTTAATCCCAACTTTTTACAAATTTCATTGCATTTGTGTGTCTTGAACCACTTAGTCATACCATCTTCTTATCCATGATCTGTTTTACCAAACTAATTTTTCTTAAATGAATGCATTAGAGGATCAGTCAAAACAAATTTAAAATTATCTATTCTCATTCCTTATAAATCTGTAATCATAAATCCAGCGCCAGAAACCAAAGCAGTCCAATGTGTAAATGCACCAGTCATTTGAGCATGTTCAAAGTTTCCATCTTTACTAAGTCCGCTAAATTTAGCAAAACCACCTGATAAAAAGCTTTCAATTTCATAATAGCACTAATCAGAATTAGAAAAAAGAGGCACAGCAACATATGGTTAAATGAAATCAAACTAAATTTCTTGATCAGGATAAAATCTTTTAACTATCTCCATAAACTTCTAGGCAAATCTTCTTGCCAAGTATTGAATAATTATATCCTTGTAAACTTCTATTGCATGAGATGACTTTAAAACTCTTTTAAACGCCCATTAATGTTTCTGAACCAGGTAAGTTTCCTCATATGAGTTTGATGCTTGGTTATATTAGATCTATCTACTTTATTAGCACACCTTCATCTCATGAAAAGAACCTTTTCCTGACGGATCTTTTTGTATATAGAGCTCAAGGATTTCCTTCTTCCTAAACCATAAATCATTTTCATCGAGATAGTAGAGTTCGAACCATCTGTAATCATGATTTTTTCTACATAGAGAAGACTCCCTAGCTAGCTATTCGTTTTCAAAAAATTTTCTGAAGATAGCTCTAGCAAAGTTTGCCTAAAATAAATATGATCAATTTTCAAAATAGCTATTTACATTTTCAGTGATGGAAATTTTGTTTTTGTTTTGGAAAATAACTTGAAAGATCTATTCCTTCTGTAAACTTTTGATCTTCCAATGGCAATCTTTGCACATTATTAGAGAGCATGATTCTTAGGTTCCATTTTATTGGCATAAATAGTAGATATTGTCTTATTTAATCTGGTTTACACATAATCTATCCACAAATATTAAAAGAATAGAATGTGACATACCTACATGTCTGTGGAAAAGAAGATTCTTTCCATGTCTAACTCTTTAGTTATAACTTGCAGATACATTATATATCTTTATCATCAAGCCTAGTATGGCCTGGTCTCTAAAGTGATAGGTCAGCTCTATTTGCTTTCTATAAGAAATTAAAACCAATTTTGGAAAACTGAGTATATCTTACCCTGATTCTTATATCCCCTTTACTCTATTCCTAACCATTCAAGGACCAAAATCCTTGAAGATTATTGTCACCATCAACAAATCCTTGAGAAATGATGTTATTGGGATTTTGAGGATCTCCATTGATTGTAGCTTAAAGCCGGTACTAGACATCTTAATCACCTTCTATTATTTCTCCGTCAATTATGTAGTCGAAATGATTTAAACACATTTTTCCTTTTATGACTTTATTATTTATCTCGAACTCATTTAAACCTTTCGCTGGCAATGCATCAAAATTGAAAAATCTTTGCTCTAGTACATATTCAGGATTTATTACTTTAGCTACTCTGGGTCTTAGCAAAGTCATTTGTATTTTGTGTATAATTTATTTTATTATTATTTGCAAAAATTAATACTCTCTATTGTTGGGGTTTTGGGGTTTTGGGGAGATCGGA